GGAGGCAGCGTGCTCCTGTGCGCCCCTTGGCGGGGGCCCTGGGTTTGGCTCCACTCTGGAAGGAGGATCAAATCTTATTCCCAGCCAAAAACCATTGAAGACGATTGCACGGAAAATTCTGCTCCCATTGTCTGGTATCTTCCCTCCTCTTCCCAGAGACACTGTTCTCTTAAATAAGAGGCATACAGTATATCACAGAAGTGAGTACGCCCCTCACATGTTGCAAATATTTTATTATATCTTTTCATGTGACAACCCTGAAGAAATGACACTTTGCTACAATGTAAAGTAGTGAGTATACAGCTTGTATAACAGTGTAAATTTGCTGTCCCCTCAAAATAACTCAACACATAGCCATTAATGTCTAAACCACTGGCAACAAAAGTGAGTACACCCTTAAGTGAAACTGTCCAAATTGGACCCAAAGTGTCAATATTTTGTGTGTCCACCATTATTTTCCAGCACTGCCTTAACCCTCTTGGGCGTGGAGTTCACCAGAGTGTCACAGGTTGCCACTAGAGTCCTCTTCCACTCCTCCATGACGACATCACAGAGCTGGTAGATGTTAGAGACCTTGTGCTCCTCCACCTTCCTTTCAGAATGCCCCACAGGTGCTCGATAGGGTTTAGGTCTGGAGACATTCTTGGCCAGTCCATCAGCTTTATCCTCAGCTTCTTTAGCAAGGCAGTGGTCATCTTGGAGGTGTGTTTGGGGTTATCATGTTGGAATACTGCCCTGCGGCCCAGTCTCTGAAGGGAGGGGATCATACTCTGCTTCAGTATGTCACAGTACATGTTGGCATTCATGGTTCACTAAATGAACTGTAGCTCCCCAGTGCCGGCAGCACTCATGCAGCCCCAGACCATGACATTCCAACCACCATGCTTGACTGTAGGCAAGACACACTTGTCTTTGTACTCCTCACCTGTTGTCGCCACACTCGCTTGACACCATCTGAACCAAATATGTTTATCTTGGTCTCATCAGACCACAGGACATGGTTCCACTAATCCATGTCCTTAGTCTACTTGTCTTCAGCAAACTGTTTGTGGCTTTCTTGTGCATCATCTTTAGAAGAGGCTTCCTTCTGCGATGACAGTTCTGCAGACCAATTTGATGCAGTGTACGACGTATGGTCTGAGCACTGACAGGCTGACCCACCACCCCTTCAACCTCTGCAGCAATGCTGGCAGCACTCATATGTCTATTTCCCAAAGCCAACCTCTGGATATGATGCTGAGCACATGCACTCATCTTCTTTGGTCGACCATGGCGAGGCCTGTTCTGAGTGGAAACTGTCCTGTTAAACCACTGTATGGTCTTGGCCACCGTGCTGCAGCTCAGGTTCAGGGTCTTGACAATCTTCTTATAGCCTAGGCCATCTTTATGTAGAGCAACAATTCTTTTTTTCAGATCCTCAGTTCTTTGCCATGAGGTGCCATGTTGAACTTCCAGTGACCAGTATGAGAAAGTGAGAGCGATAACACCAAATTTAACACACCTGCTCCCCATTCACACCTGAGACCTTGTAACACTAACGAGTCACATTACACTGTGGAAGGAAAATGGCTAATAATGCCCAATTTGGACAGTTTCACTTAGGGGTGTACTCACTTTTGTTGCCAGCGGTTTAGACATTAATGGCTGTGTGTTGAGTTATTTTGAGGGGTCAGCAAATTTACACTGTTACAAGCTGTATACTCACTACTTTACATTGTAACAAAGTGTCATTTCTTCAGGGTTGTCACATGAAAAGATATAATAAAATATTTACAACATGTGAGGGGTGTACTCACTTCTGTGATATACTGTGCCTAAACACTGCATATCCCTTTTCTCCTAGCCAAACAGATACAAGAAACCAACAAGCAGAGAAAATTCCCACGCAGCTGTTACATAAACCCTCTGGCCAGGCAGGTGCTCACCTAGGTCTTGTCTTAGAAAGCCCAGCAACTCTGAGCTTAGAGCGAATTGCTTCGAGGGGACGTAGCAAGTGGCCCTGCACCTGCGTTCCTGGGAGGAAATTGGCCATGAGGCAGATGCATTAGCTGAAGGAAAGGGAGCCTGGACGGGGGTGTTCAAGATGATGCCTGTGGTGGAGGGAGACCTTCCCCCGTTTACTTAAGTCTAGAACCCAGAGGAGTCATCCCAGGAAGCCATAAGTGCGAGACTCATGACAGAACTGAGATCTGTCACTCCACATTCATGGTGCCAAACCAGCTTCTCAGATGATCCCACAACCAAGATGGGTGCAAGACCTCCTCCTGCTCAAGTGCGGCTACTTGTGCTTTTGGCTCCTTGCTGACCTCATGCTCAGAGGCAGTACGCCAGTGTGCATCCCTTGGTGGGGCCTTGTGTGGAATGAGGCTTTTGGACATGCGGGATCCATGTGGGTTTCCCATGGGCCTAGAAGAGTAGAGCCAGAAGTGGCCATGAACCCATCAGAACACCCCCAAGTTCAAGCCTGGGGGCTGGCTATGGTGTGAGCAGCATGCTGTAGAGGGTCCCGTGGTATGATCCTACGTGGCCCTTCTGAAGTCTTCACTCAGTAACCGAGGATGTGTTTACATAGCAAAAGCACAAGTGGTATAAACCAGTAAGTGACGTATAAACAAAAGCCTATTTTGTGTAGGAAGGGGGTTGTGGGAGGATTTGAAATGGGGTCTGGGGTTGGGTTGGCCACAGGTGTATCTGTGTTTTCCTTCTTCCTTGCAGTCTTTCTCCCAGTAAAGAACCGACAACGCAGCAAGGAGGCCCTGCCTGATTTGCTGAGAACAAAAATGGAGAACGGAGGGAAAGGAGAAGAAGATGACTTAGCTGGCTGTGAGGCAGGAACTGGCTCCCATGAAATCCCACAAGGGAGCAGCACAGAGCTCTGGGAAAGAGGCTTGGAGGAGGACATGGGTGGGAGCAGACCCAGCTCAGACGTGGCTCGCCGGCGCTTCAGGCAGTTGGGCTACCTGGAGGCTGAGGGGCCCCGAGCGACTTGCAGCCGCCTCCACCGTCTCTGCCATCAGTGGCTGCGGCCAGAAAACCACACGAAGGCTCAGCTGCTGGACCAGGTGATCCTGGAGCGGTTCCTGGCCATCCTTCCCCCACAGCTGGAGAGCTGGGTGAGGGAGTGCGGAGCGGAGACCAGTGCCCAGGCGGTGGCCCTGGCCGAAGGCGCCCTGCTGAGCCAGGCAGAGGAGGGGAAGCAGGAAGAGCAGCAGGTGAACATTTTTCCTCCTGGGAACTCTGTGGGACTGAGACCTTAAAACTCCCTCCCAGTCACCTGAATGTGATGCCTGTTTCTCAAGGGTGCGCCAGTTTCCCATGTCTCCCTGCCCCATACAACACCAGGCCTCAGTTCTGAACGTGTGGGGCAGGCTCTCTTGGGAGCACCCAAAGTACCTCCAGTAGGTTCATTTGTTTTGCTCCTCAAGAGGAGAAGGTCCTTTTCACGTAGCGGGAGAATCCTCCTGGTGGGACGAGGAGCAGCGAAGGAACATGCGGAGTTGCTCGGGATCAGTCACCATCTCAGAGCTTCTCCCTCCCTGCTGACTGAATCCAGGAGGCTCTTTGTGGCCTTCGACCAGGACTGAGCCATCAACCCAGCAAAGGGATCCTTCCCTGCTCGTCTCAAGTCCACTCAGCCTGGACTTCTGCAGGGCTTGGGGAAGAGGCCCGAACGGCACACCTGTGGGAATCTTCTCTTTTCCTAATACCTGCATCCCTTCCCTTACCTGTACTCTGCATTGCTGTTCCAGGTTCAGCGAATGGTGGACAAAGCAGCCGCAGGGTTCCCAGTGGCAAAGAAGGCTCCGTCGGATCCCACACTGGGGCTCCTGTCTAGGGGGATCATGCAGGGAGTAGACAGGGGACCCTTGTCTTCTGTTAAGGGTGAGTGGGCCCATTTCAACCTCGTCTACCATCTGCTCTGTGCCCAAAGTGCCTGAGGTGATTAAGCTTCTCTTGAGCTTCCTTTGAGGTGGGAGTAAACTTCCCCAGTATCCATTCTAAAACTTGGAAAGGCAGATTGTCCAGCAATATAGACAAACACCTTGGAGGATTCCACACAAGAAACTAAGTGACCAAATGTCCTTCAAGAACACAGTTTCTTCTTCGTTCTCTTTCCTGTCCTTAGGAAAGGGAATGGCCTGCAGGGAGGATGGAATGACACTCAGCATTCCTTCGAGGCCTCCTTCAGTTTGTGATGGAGTGGAGACACCATCCCTGCATGCAGAGAAGGTAGGAGAGGCTTGAGGGCCTTTCTCCTTAGACCTGGCAGAATTAGCCCCTTTGCTTCCATCCCAGGAGGAGGATCGGAGGCTTCTGGATTCACTCGTGGAGCCCCGGATTCCACAGGGGAACCTCCAGTCCCCTCCCCACCGCCGTCTCCCTGCACGGCTATGATGAACGCCTTCCTCTTCTCCAGGGTGTGACGAGCCTCGAGGAGGTGGCCGTGCATTTCTCGGAGGATGAGTGGGCCCTGCTGGACGCTGGCCAGAGGGCTCTGCACCAGGACGTCACAGAGGAGATCCTGGCTTCTCTGGGTAAGGAACGCGGCCCCTCCATTTGTGTGAATGCATTTCTGGTCAACTCTGGTATATCCACCTTTGGTGAAAATTTATGATACCTAATCACTTTTTCTGAGAGACACAAGAGAGCAGATTCTCTGAGACTCGGAGGCCTCGCATAGCCAGCTTGACCTCCTCTTTGTGACACCTGTAACACGACACATTTCGGTGAACGCACCGGAAATATAGGTCCAGTAGAACAGTGACACAAGCCAGCAGGAATGCCGTAAGAGTCTACCTTGACTGCTGGATTCAAAAGTTGCAAAGACATCCAAAAGAGCTGCCAGCAATGCTCACTTTCCAGTTCCTGTTTTCCAAACCAGCCAGGACAAAATGGCAGGTCCCACTGTCAATGCTGGTTTCATAGATTTTTAAAGTCTTTCTTTCCGTTGGGGCACCACGTGTGGGATGTCTTGGAGGAAACACACCCAACCACGAGGAAGTGCCTCCACCCCAGGCATTTTTGATCGTGTTGATCAAATCAGCAACCCATTGGGTTTTTTCTGTCTGTTGTGGCATAATTTTCTTTCTATTCTTTCAGCGGATTGCAGGGGGAGCAACAGAAACAGTGCGCATCAAGGACAGGGGACAGCAGACAAAGAAAACTGGAGGGACGAGTCCATTTCTTTTGAGCAGGCCGAATTCTGTGCTGTTCCAATGGCACAAGCACCTTGTGAAGGCAGGAATAGGAATATTTGCAGTGGAGAAAGACAATTGGAAAACTCCAAGGACATAAGGAGGCAACAGATCCACCATTGTGGAAAACAAGAATTTGACAAAGAGGGGAAGAGCTTCAGATGCTTGAAGTCTAAAAAGAGGTTCAGCTGTACATTAGATTCTACCGTAGAAAAAAGAATTCTCACGGGGGAGGAACCAGACAAAGGGTCAGAGGGAAGTGAGCATTTCTTTCCTAATGAAAGCCTTCCCTCACATCAAACAGGCCACATAAGCGAGAGATCTGACAAGTGTTTGGAGTGCGGAAAGAGTTTTGGTGAAAGCAGCCAGCTTCAAGCACATCAAAAAAGCCACATGGGAGGGAAGCTGCAGAAACGTTTAGATTGTGGAAAGGGCTTCCCTCAGAATTCAAACCCTGTATCTCATGAAACAATCACCAAAGCAGGGAAACCTCATAAATGCTCCCACTGTGGAAAGCACTTCAGTGAAAGGATGGGCCTTAAAAGACATCTAATAATCCACACAGGAGAAAAGCCCTTTCAGTGCACAATGTGTGGAAAGAGTTTCCGTGAAAACAAGGGCCTTAAAAAGCATCGCGCAAGCCACACAGAAGAGAGGCCCTATAAGTGTTCGGAATGTGGAAGGAACTTTGCTCAGAAATCACACCTTAACTCACATAAAGGAATTCACACAGGAGAGAAGCCCTTTCAGTGCTCTGTGTGTGGAAAGAGTTTCCGTCAAAACGGTCATCTCAAGGTGCATCACAGAATCCACACAAATGAGAAGCCATTTAAATGCTCAAAATGTGAAAAGGCCTTCCGTCACAACATGAGCCTTAAAAGGCATCTCACGATCCACACAGAAGAGAAGCCCTTTCGGTGCTCAATGTGTGGAAAGGATTTCCATCAAAACATACTCCTTAAGCTACATCAGAGAATCCACGCAAGGGATAAGACCTGCACTTGCTCTGAATGTGGAAAGAGGTTCCTTGACCGTGGAAGCCTTCAACATCATCAAAGAATTCACTCCAGGGAGAAGCCATATAAATGCTTAGTGTGTGGAAAGAGCTTTGTTCATAACTCGCACCTTAACTCACATAAAAGAATCCACATTGAAGAGAATCCCATTCAGTGCTCAGTGTGTGGAAAGCGTTTCCGTCGAAACACACAACTTAAGTTACATCAGGAAATGCACAAACAGGAGAAACCCTATACTTGCAATGAATGTGGGAAGAGCTTCCTTGATGCAAGGAGGCTTAAACGGCATCAAATAATTCACATGGGAGAAGCCGTATAAATGCTTCAAGTGTGGAAAGGGCTTTACTCACAAGACATACCTTAAGTCACATAAAATAATTCACATGGAAAAAAGCCCATAGAGTGCTCAGTGTGTGGAAAAGGTTTCCACCATAACACACAATTTAAGGTTCATCAGAGAATCCACATGGGGGAGAAGTCTTACATATGCTCTGAATGTGGGAATAGCTTCATTGATTGCAGAAGGCATACACATCATCAAAAAACACACACTGGGGAAAATTCATATAACTGCTTTGAGTGTGGAAAGAGCTTCACTTGGCACTCTCATCTTAGGGTGCACCAAAGAAATCACACAGGTGAGAAGCCATTTGAATGCTTTCAATGTGGAAAGGCCTTCTGTCAAAACATTTACCTTAAAAGACATTGCAGAATCCACACGCGGGAAAAGTTCTTTCATTGCTCAATATGTGAGAAGAGTTTCAGTCAAATGCGCACCTTAATATACATTAGAGATTCCACAAAGGGAAGGAGCCCTGCACTTGCTCTGAATGTGAGAAGAGCTTCCTTGTTTGCAGAAATCTTAAATGGCATCAAAAAATTCACACGGAAAATACATAAATGGGTTGAATGTGGAAAGGCTTTTGTTCACAGTTGGGTCCTTAAAAGTCATCAGAGAAGCCAAATGGGAAAAGCCATTTAAATGCTTAGAGCAGGGGTCCTCAAACTTTTTAAAAAGGAGTACACTGTTCCTCAGACTGTTGGGGGGCCAGACTATAGTTTGAAAAATTGTAATTAAAATAAATTTAAAATTAATTAAAAAAATAAAAATGTCTCCTCCCCTTGTCTGGCTGCAGCAGAAGCCCAAGATGACGCTGTGCCGCCTGCTGAAAGCAGGACACAGGGTGGGGGGGCGCATGAGGGTGCGCTCACCTCAGTTGAGGCCTTTTTGCCACATTGCACCGCCCTGCTTCCCAGCCAGACGAGGGTCCCTTCCCCGGTGCTTGCCCGGCTCTGGGAGTGGGAGTGGGAGGCCAGAGAGGTGTGCGCAAGGTGGCTCCTCTTGCTAGGGAGGGCCGCAAAAAGGTAAGGACGAGGCTGCAGCTGGCCGAGCGGGGCACCTCCTGCCTCTCCCCGCCATGGGGGAAGAAGCATGCTGGCTTGCCCATAGAAGGCTGGGACTCCTGTGCCACCAGTGTCAAGCAGCTGCCCCTGGGCTTGGCAAGGTGGCTGCGGCTCACATAATTAAAAATATATTTGAAAAGTTATATTTTTCTTACCTTCAATCCATTTTTAGTGTCTCTCTCTCTCTCCTGCCCTGCTCTCTTCTGTTTCCAGCTCCATATTCCCACTCTGTATATGCATGCATTGTGGGGGGGGGGGGGGTGCCAGCACACATGCAGTTGAGCTGCTGCAATTTGGCCCATGCGCTGGCTCTCTGCTCAGTTTCAAAGAACACCTGCACCAGCACAGAGCTTTTGGAAATCATTTTCTCCGAGCGAGTCTGAAAGCTCTGAGGTGGGCTGGGTAAATGAGCATGGCGGGCCGGATTTGGCCCGAGGGCTGTAGTTTGAGGACCCATGGTGAAGAGCAGTGATGGCAAACCTATGGCATGCATGCCACAGGCTGGAACTGCTGTGAACCGAGAGGAGTGGGCCCATGGTGGGGGACCCCTCCTCACCCGACCCCCCCTTGCCAAGGCTTGGTAGCACCATGCGGGTGACTTGAAAAAGAACCCAACAGAAGTGGGAAGGGATCAGTGATAGCCTCTCCTCACCTTTAGGTCTCCCCCCCCCACCCATTCTATCCCTCCAGTAAACTTCCAAGCACCACTGAAGCTGCTGCGGCACCTGGTGGCTGGTTTGGGGGTGAGGAGGGAAGGAGGGAGAGAGTGCACACGCTCGGGTACAAGCAAGCCTGGCATCCCCCGACTTGGGGGCGCTGAACGTGAATATGGCTCCTTCTCTCTGTTACTGTGTTTTTCTTTTAAGACAAAGATGTTAATGTATGAGTTGTTTTTTCTAAACTAAAACCTCTGTATTCAGGTTTTATTGTAATGTTGGCACTTCGTGATAAATAAGTAGGTTCTGAATTGCAGTTTGGGCACTCAGTCTCTAAAAGGTTCACCAGCACTGGCTTAGAGTGTGGAAAGAGCTTTGCTCCAAAGGGAGACCTTAACTCACATAGAAGAATCCACACAGGAGAAGAAGCTCTGCACTTGCTCTGAATGTGGGAAGAGCTTCCTTGATTGCAGAAAAATGGCATCAAAAATTCACACAGCAGGGAAACTACATAAATGCTTTGAGTGTGGAAAGGCTTTTGTTAGCAGTTCGGAGCTTAAAAGTCCTCAGAGAATCCATTCAGGGAAAAAACATACAGTGTGTGGAAAGAGCTTTGCTCGGGAGGGAGACCTTAACTTACATGGAAGAATCCACACGGGAGAAACCCTTTTGAGTGCTCAGTGTGTGGCAAGAGTTTCAGTCATAGTAGCAACCTGAGAGTACATGAAAATATACAAGCAACCAGCCCTAAAAAAAGGTTTCCAGTTGAGGATAGAATTTACAAACATAGAATAAAAGTGAGTCAGAATTGGCCTCCCAGGCCATCTAGTCAGACCCCCGGGTCCAGCAAGCTTCGTTCATGTAATACCCAGGTTGTGTGTGTCCAATCTTTCCTTAACACCCTCACTGATGGGGCCTCAACCACCTTCCTTGGAAGCCTATTCCATATCCTAGGGGTCCTGCCTTCTAACCTGAAGCTGGTTCTTTGAGCTTTGCCTCACTGGAACTCATTCTTTCCTCCAGAATGTGGATCCCAGAAAAGGACACAGTCCTCCAGTTGTGGGTGCACCAGAGTCATGTAGGGCGGTATCAACATCTCCCTAGAAGCCACGCTTATGGCTATACATCCACAGGTGGCATTCACCTTCTTAACTGCTGCATCACACTGCTAGCTCATGTTCAGCCTACTGTTGACACGAACCCCGAGATCCCTTTGACTAGTGCAACTCCCCAGCCACTTGTCCCCCATCCTGTACCTGTGACACCTATTCCGATGCCCCAAATTCAGGACCTTGCACTTACCACAGTGAATGCCATCCTGTTGTCCCCTGCCCACTTCCACAGCCTGTCCAGATCCTTCTGGATCTGGATCACCTGCTTCTCAGTTGTGGCCACCACTCCCAAGTCTCACCCAGTTTTGGTGAAAACAAATGGCTAAGAAGAGATTTTTGAAGGGAGTAATAAATAAATATGTTTAAATATTGAAATATGACCTGCGATTGCTTTACTCTCAAAACAAATATAGAGTTGGTATTTTAAAGAATTGGTAGCAAACTTTTAAAGAATTGGTAGCAAACTTAGTAACAGCTGCAAGATTAATTATAGCAAATTATTACATCATTTTCAATTGAAGTTTGGAATATAGCTATTCATGACAAATTAATTTGTGATATTCAAGTGGGGAAAGGCTATATAGAAAAGAATACTTGTGATGATGCCTGGGGTTCATTTATGTATTGTGTGTTTTTAAAAAAAAGAAGTGGGGAAGATTTGAACCTTCGCAGTGGTCATTGCAATTTTGGAAGGTGTACGGAGCTTCTTGAAGAAACTTTTGAAAGAACTTTTAAAATGTTACCAGTGGTCCCAGTGGTGGGATGAACTGGGCTTTGTATAGGGGAGTTTAATTGTATGTTTAATATTGCATATTTTTACTTTATTCTATGTCTTATTTTAATTGTATTTCCCATTTTAGATTAATAGAAATTTTAAAAAACTGGTAATGGGCACAAGGACATAGCTGTGTTCGTTGAAGAGCTTCATTCCATTCAGGCCCTGCAGGGAGCTCTTGCACATTCTGTTTGCTGGCCGATTTCATTTCAGCATGTTCATTATCACACTGCAAAGGGGACTGCAGACTGATCCGTTTGCTCCGGAATGTCCACTGTCCTGGCTCCAAACCAGAGCTTCTGCTCATCAACCAAATGACTGTGGCTCATTTTTGCTGTTCTTTAAATTAAAACAATATTTACTCCTCATCTCCAATGTCCTTTCTTCATCTCTTTATTATTTGAGCAAAATGCTTTTACTTTCAAACCTGTTTTTCTTACCAGGTAGACACTGACTCCCTGCTGCCTTAACTTTCCAGTGTGCTAATCTGAGCAGCGATGTAATAATCTGGTCCACACTTTTCCAAATAGCTAACTTGGAAATAGAAAAGACTTTTAAAGGAATGTACTGGCTTTGTGGCTCTCAGAGGTGATGGAGTGCATTGACTTGTACGACAAGCCACCGTGGCTTATGCTGCACAATGGCCTGTCTTTTGAATTCAGGATGGGTTTATTTTTGGCTTATTGGCCCCCATCACACTCCAAGCTTCTATTCAGGGTGGCTTGACTCATGATGGTTATATCATCTGAACTCCGATGATACAACCCATCATGGATCAAGCCCTGCTACAAATGCGCCACTTTGCTAGACCAGCATGGTCATCTTGCCACTCTCATCAAGCTGCCAACAGTCAACCGCCGCTGATGGCCTCAGTGGCATTGCAGGTGGCTGTCGGAGGTTCCCCTTCACCCTGTCCAGCTGGCTGCAGAAGTCCTCATTCTCCACTCCTGAAGGGGGAACAGGGATCCCCAAAGCTGTCTGAACCAGTCCCTGCTCCCTCCACTGCCCACTGCCACGAACCAGCGACTGATCCATTCACCCAGAATTTCCACGTCCTGGCTCCAAACAAGAGCTTCTCATCATCCAAATGACTGTGGCTCATTTTTGCTGTTCTTTAAAACAATGTTTTCTTCTTCTTTCCAATGGTCTTTCTTCATCTCTTTATTATTTGAATGAAATGCTACCCCCTCCTTGCACTGCCCCTGCCCCACAGCCAAGAAGGATGGACTGCCCCTTTCCCGAGGCACCCTGTGCTGGCTCTGGGTGAGGAATGTGGCCTCTCTGAATAGGGCTACTTCCTTCCCTCCGTGATCGATCCTGGATGTTGAAAGTCCTAGCACAGCTTCTATGTAACAGGCATTAGTGTGAAAGCATTTCTGGTCAATTCTGGTACATCCACTTAGGGCGAGATTTAAGAAGTCTAATCATTTTTCTGAGAGAATCAGATTCTCTGAGCCTCAGTGTATCCACACGGGGGAGAAGCACTATCAACGCTCAGTGTGTGGAAAGGGTTTCATTGAAAACAGAAACCTTAAGCTACTCGTCCATCTGAGAATCCACACAGGGGAGAAGCCCTACACTTGCTCTGAGTGTGGGAACAGCTTTCCTGATTGCAGAAAGATTAAACATCATCAAAGAATTGACTTGGGAGAAGCCATATAAATACTCCAAATGTGGAAGGTATCTCCTAAGGAGAAGCAGTGGCCAAGATCCCGGGAAGAGGGAATGCCTAGGACCCTTCCGAGGGCCATGGCAGGCCGAAATTCAATATGCGATTGGGCAAGTTCCCCAGTCACAGCTCCTACCAAGACCATCAACTGAGACCCTCCCATGCGTCCCTCTCCCTCAGGAGGTTCAGGAGGAGGCCGCAAGGAGGGCCTTGTCTGGGGTGGCCCCCAAGTCTGGAACGTCATTGGGCACACCAGAGAGTTCATCAGGCACCTACCCTGTTGATCTTCAGGTGCCTAATAAAAACACTTCTGTCTTGGCACACCTAGGACAACACTCAGACCATCCATATTAATTGTGCTGGTTTTAATACATTCTGTTTCTACTTGACTACATGTATTGTATTTTTATCTTGTTTATTTATGATATTTTAATGGTATCATATTATTTAATGTTATTTAGCGGTACTTCCAGTGCAATGGCAACCTGGAGGGCACAATGCTAATGGGAGGCTTTCAAACCAATCTAAGAAACAAAGACACAGCGTGGAGTTTCCAAGAGCGGAGCACGGCTGCCAAGGTCAGGCCCCCTTGGTGGGTGTTCAATTCATAGGGTCACCATGAGTCGGAGATGATGAAAACCATGAACACGGGGATGGAAGCAACATTGCTGGCTCTTTGGCTCGCGGTTTTGGCAGCCCGGCCCTTGCATGGGGGCGATCGGCCTGCCTGTATCCATCAGCACCTGGCATTGACAGCGACTGTGGGCTGAGGATCACGAGGGGATATCAACTCCTTTCACAGGAGCCTCATTGTGGCATCCCGCCCAGATATCTGTGAGGAGGAGGAACGAAGGGAACTGGCAGCGTGAAGGGAAGTTACAAGGTAAGCATGAAGTGGGGAGGGGAGACAGATGAGTGGGAAGATGCCTGGAGCACCGTGAAAATTTTCCACTTGCAGACTGAAGACTAAACTCTTAATAACCTAGTCCTTAACAGCTGTGAGATAGAAAAACCTGGACACCTTAAATGGCAGTGTTTATCTGCTAATGGATTAAGTTCCTTATCCATTATCACATGAATCTGAGATAGTCCAGTGTTAATTAGGTAACGGCTACTGGGTCACAAGATTTTAGAGTACAGAGGAAATTCAAAGAGCAACCAGGTTCTTCCGTGTTGCTCTCCTCCTTTTCTGGCTTCCCTTCATTCTTGTGAATGTTCAGAAAGGAAACTTGGGGAAGAAATATTTGATTTCGTTAGGAAAACAAAACAGTTCAAAGGCTCTTAGAAAGCTATAGCAATGTTTCCTGCTTTTTATCCGTTAATGCTTAGCCTTGTTTTCTGTGCACCCATACTGTACCTTGTTAGCTTGTAAATATTTGCATGTTACAAAAGGAAAATAGGTGAATTTTCTGAAACACTCTTTTGATCTCCAACACTCTATTTGGAAGCAGAGCTAAGAGTTCAGAGCTAGGATTTCATGGTCCAATCATCTGCATGAAGTTTTGCATGAAGAATCCTGCAAGATGCTTTTCCATGATCAGAAAGGCAACCCCAGGGAAAAAAGAGAAACAGGTGGGGGAAAGCCTTGGACTTCAACTATGTGGAGGGCAGAGATGCCAGCTCAGCACTGGATACTCCTAAGTCCCCAAATTTGATTTCTTTTAGTAAAGGTATTCCCTTAAATTATTTTGATTCAGACTCATCGTCAGTCCGTTGTCTCACTAAACTACAGAACACATGCATGGCCTTATAGTGGATTTACATTTCCAAGCAATATTGATTGACCATCTTAATATTGACCAATATCGATTCGTACCGCGAGCAAGAATGGAAACAGATCAACTAACCTCTCCGACTGGCATGCTGGAGGGTTAAGGAAGCATGGATGAATGCTAAGAAAAACAAGAAGAAAAAACTAAGAAAAAAAAGTGTAAAAGTAAACCACTACAGATAATGTTGTTGTTGTTAGTCGCGAAGTAGTGTCTGACACATCACAACCCCATGGACAACATTCCTCCAGGTCTTCCTGTCCTCCACCATCCCCCGGAGTCCACCCAAGCTCAAACAAAATCCTTCAGTCACTCCATCCAGCCACCTCCTCCTCTGCCATCCTCTTCTTCTTTTGGCATCTATTGTTCCCAGCATTAGGCTCTTCTCCAGGGAGTCCTTCCTTCTCATTAGTTGGCCAAAGTACTTGAGTTTCATCTTCAGGATCTGGCCTTCCAAAGAGAGTCAGGGTTGATCTCCTCTAAGACTGACTGGTTTGATCTCCTTGCAGTCCAAGGGACTCGCAGGAGTCTCCTCCAGCACCACAATTCAAAGGCCTCAGTTCTTTAGTGCTCAGCCTTCCTTATGGTCCTACTTTCACAGCCATACATTGCAACTGGGAAAACCATAGCCTTGAGTATATGCACTTTTGTTGCCAGGGTGATGTCTCTGCTTTTTAGTATGCTGTCTAGATTTTCCACCTGGCGCCGGAAAAAATATAAAATCTAAAACCTTGTAGTTGGCAGTGAAGACCCCTACCTGGTAGCTTGTAGTTGTAATTAAACTGCAGGGGGCCTGGGTGATCTCACCAATGGAAACACTGGAGATCAAGGCCATTTAAATCTTCTCTGTGGGTCTGAGTGCACATTCCCACCATTGGTGAGGCTTCTCTGACAATGCACCAGCACTTCCCACTAAAAGGTTGCTGGGGAGACAGATTCCCACAGCCTTTCCCATCAGTGATCAGAGGTGATGGTGGAGAGTCCTCAGTTGGGCAGCATGCTAGGGGAGGTCCCACCTTCGAGGTCTCCTGGGCATAGAGGTCTGCAGGGGTCTGATCATGCTGAGAAAAGTGTTCTACTAGCTACCCCACAATTTGGGGGGGGGGGTATTTCCCCAGGGTGAACACGCAGTCTTCTAGCTAGACCAGGTTGACTCTCCATGCCAGAACCAGACTACAGGACAAGCAACACTTCTGCCTTCTCTGGATTGCATCAGGATGTCTAGAGCTACCAGTTGCCAGAATGTAAGCACAGTTTCACAGGGAGACACATTTCCTTGCAAACCTCAGCAGTTTATTAGATAGAACCCTCAGGTACCCTCTGGAGAGAAAAACCTTACGAACAGTTCTGCCAGGCTGAGACCGGCTACAGGCTTCCAGAACATGTACAAAGTATTTTATAACCACCTAGTCTGTGCGCTTAAGTGGACTCCGGGGAATGGTGGAGGACAGGAAGACCTGGAGGAGTGTTTTCCATGGGCTCGTGATGGGTCGGACACGATTTCGTGACTAACAACTACAAAAACCTCCTTGTCATGTACATGTGTATAGAGTTGTCAATGACAGAATAATGACAGTACAATGGCACTCTGATGTCGGCATATACAGAACAATAATGCAAACCAGCCAGCTATGTATGTTATAACGGAAGGGAAAATATTACTGATTGCAGTGTATCGACAGTTTGAATGAGTAAATTTCTGAAACTTAACCCAATCTCCGTGTGTTTAAACATGCAAAAGTGAGTGGTTGGGAAACCATTCATGAAAACTGAGCTCAAATCCCTGCACTGATTGGCTATGGTGCATCAGCCACTCGAGGGGCGTGTTAACTTGACAATTCTTGAGAAAGCTGTGACTTCTTCAAAGGATTAGATGGCAACATGGTGGTTACAGGATATCTTGTATCACCGGGCAGCAGATTAGTCAGTCTTGGTTATGGGGGTCTTCCTTTTGTTCCCCAAAATGGACTCCAAAATTCATGTCAGGCACCAATTCAAAACATGCCAGGCACCAATTCTTTTCATTATCATTTTTTTGGACCTCTTTCCCAACAATTGCAGCCAGTAGTTTGGGGCAATGTAGGGATTCAGCGAAAAGAGATTTCTGTACCATGCTGATAGGCCCCATCCTCTGATGCCCTGCCATGCCACTCCCATCCTTCTTTGGCAAAAAGGCTGAAGCATCCTCGCTTTTGCAGTTTCTGAAAAAGAAGGGGGTGCTTGAATGCCCTGCTGGGCTGATGAAGACTTGGGGCAACTAGTGGCTCTTCAGATGCTGTTGGACTACAGCTGCCTTCATCCACTATCACTGGCCAGGCTGGCTGGGGCTGATGGGGACTTTTCCAGACACACCTGGAGGGATGCAGGTTGTGATTCGGAAGCAAAGCCTATTGAGAACTGCTTTAAGGTAGACCCTTTTGCAGGCTTCTGCCAGATTTTCTTGGTATTCTTGTTGTTGTGCTCATAGAATATGAACACTTAAAGCCTAATTTATGAATTACTTGCCACACCATGAGTTTTGGCCACTACAGGCCCCCTTTTGTTTTTGTGGTAAGGTGCTCCTTTGTGTTCAGGTCCGGCCTCACCAGAATGATGTAGCACTTGGGGAGGAAGATGCAGCCCAGCAGACCAGTGCAGGAGGCCAAGATGGAGAAGACCTGCACGGCCACCATGTACTTGCCCCTGGTGCTCAGGTAGGTGGGTACGAAAGACACCCAGACGCTGCAGAAGACCAGCATGCTGAAGGTGATGAGCTTGGCCTCATTGAAGGCCCCGGGCAGCTTCCTGGCCAGGAAGGCCACCGTGAAGCAGACGGCAGCCAGGAAGCCCATGTAGCCGAGGGCAGCGTAGAACATGGCCACAGAGCCTTCGTTGCACTGCAGGACGATTTGTGTAGGCTGGGAGTGCATGTCAGAGTCAGGGAATGGAGGAGAGATTCCCAGCCAGATGGTGCAGATGATAACTTGGACACTGGAACAAGAAATAATAATGGAGTTGGCCAATCTCTTCCCCAGCCATCTCCTCACCCTGTTCCCAGGCTTGGTGGCCAGAAAGGCCAGCACCACGGTGATGGTTTTGGCCAGCACAGAAGACACGGCCACTGAGAAGATGATGATGAACGCCGTTTGTCGGAGCAAGCAAGACACTTTCCTTGGCTGGCCGATGAAGAGGAGGGAGGACAGGAAGGAGAGCAGGAGGGAGACGAGGAGAATGTAGGAGAGGTCCCGGTTGTTGGCTTTGACTATGGGAGTTTCTAGGTATTTAATGAAAATGTGTAGGACAATGCTTGTGGTTAAGGACAAGAAGAGGGCAAAGGAAGCCAGGCTGATCCCTGCAGATTCTTCATAGGACAGAAATGTGGTTCTTTTGGGAAGACATTGATCTCGGTCCTTGTTTGGATGCTGGTCTTTATGGCAGCGAGTGCAAAAGGCTGAATCTGAGAAGAAGAAAAGTGGCAGTGATGTTTCCACTCTTTCGAGTACACTTTGGAGTAACAGTGTCTTCTGGAGACTAGCTATGTCTACTGATTCCAAGACCCAGGATCACCCAGGGAGAATTTACGTTCAGCCAGCTTCCAGGTCACCAAGTTTTTTGGGGTTGTTACAAGGCTGCGTTGAGTGTTGATTTCTCCTCCTTGTTGGACTCTTCATTCCAAGGGGTAATACAAAGAAATACAAATTCCAGACCAGCTTCCATGACTTAGAGTAGGAAACCTGACCTTTGATAGTCTGTCCTTCTGCTTTGGGAGTTTGGGAATTTCTTAGCAATATTGTTAAGCATCCCAGTCTTTGGCCCGGCTAAAGGAAAGGAAGGGGGATGGACTTTGGAATTTATTGCCAGAGCCCAGGAACAGGAGAGAAGATGGGAAAGGAAGGCACCAATCCTGCCACCTACCCTCCGACAGATAGAATTTGAAATAAAACCAATGTAATCAACCTAGCTGTCGTGCCTGAAGCCCCAACAGAGGCAGCACCTCATGAGGAAGTCTTGTGCTTGGGACCCTATATCCATAAACAAACCCCGCAACCTAGCTTGGTGGTGGCTGAGCAGATAGCTGCACCTCCCCCTGACTCGCTGCCCATTGAGCAAACACCAGAGCCCACATCAAAGCAAGAGAGCCCCGAGGGAAAAGACACCAGGAGTTCTACTCAGAAGGAGTCAGAGCAGGCTGTCCCTCCTCCCACTGATGCTGAACTTCCTGAACATGACACAGGCGACGGAGGGGATGTTATAGATTTTTCCCTAGCAACCAATCGTAGAATTCTTAGAAGATATGAGCAAAGGCAGACCCTGTTACGCCAGAGAGAAGAAAGGCGTGACCAAGAAAGCTAGTCCCATGTGGGCTCGGGGAGAGACACCACTAGAGGATTAACAGCTGCATTCCAAAGACCTCAACAGAAGAGCTTATCTATATAGTTGTAAATTTTGTAGACAAGTAGCAATAAAAGACTTTAGGTTCATTGCTTGTGAACGTGTGGGTTGTTTACATGTTGAGCAGCAAATCGACACTAGCTCAGTTACATACTGGCTACTTCTGAAGACTCTCTAGTTCCTGTTCTAATGTCAGTGTTCCAACCAGGAAACCTGGTAATTCTCTGATGATTGGATCTATGCTCCTAATGAGCCGACATCACCCAAAATGAGGAGTTAGAGCATCAGCCCTGTCAACTCTAAGAAGACATGAGCTTTTGGTTGGAGGTCAGAAACATGATCTGCAGGAAGATAAAGCTATTCAGTTCATGGTAAATTCCTCTCAAGAATTTCATGAAATTCATTTCTATATTTGGATTTCCTCAGCTAAACAGTGCCCTGTCTTTGGAGATGTTTGAATAAAACAGCTGGGGTTTAAATAAAACAAGTCAACAAGAAACTGGTATAGCAACCCTTTCCCCACTGGGTGTCCTTCACCCCAACAGCTCCTCACCTTCCTGGGTGGAGATGGTCCCTTCTGGACAAGGAGTGCAGTCATGGCAGCAAACCGGCTTTCCTTCCTGAGCCACCTTGAAGAATCCAGGGTGGCAGGCTCTGGAACACCTCGAATGAAGAAAGCTCTAATGGAAAACAGCAGGAACATCAAAGGGAAATGGTTACTGGTGTATTCAGAAGCTCCAAAGTCCTAAACAAAGAGACGAGGATCAAGTTCAGAGAGAGCAAGTTG